CTCCCACCCCCCCTTACCCCACCACCCACCACCATCTGTCACATGGACAGTGCTGTATTCTCCATTCCCCCTTACCCCACCACCCACCACCATCTGTCACATGGACAGTGCTGTATCCTACCACCACCCCCACCCCACCACCCACCACCATCTGTCACATTGACAGTGCTGTATTCTCCCACCCCCCCTTACCCCACCCCACCACCCACCACCATCTGTCACATGGACAGTGCTGTATTATCCCACCCCACCACCCACCACCATCTGTCACATGGACAGTGCTGTATTCTCCCACCCCCACCCACCACCATCTGTCACATTGACAGTGCTGTATTCTCCCACCCCACCACCCACCACCATCTGTCACATGGACAGTGCTGTATTCTCCCACCCCCACCCACCACCATCTGTCACATTGACAGTGCTGTATTCTCCCACCCCACCACCCACCACCATCTGTCACATGGACAGTGCTGTATTCTCCCACCCCCACCCACCACCATCTGTCACATGGACAGTGCTGTATCCTCCCACCCCCCCTTACCCCACCACCCACCACCATCTGTCACATGGACAGTGCTGTATCCTCCCACCACCCCCCTTACCCCACCACCCACCACCATCTGTCACATGGACAGTGCTGTATCCTCCCACCCCACCACCCACCACCATCTGTCACATGGACAGTGCTGTATTCTCCCACCCCCACCCACCACCATCTGTCACATGGACAGTGCTGTATTCTCCCACCCCACCACCCACCACCATCTGTCACATGGACAGTGCTGTATTCTCCCACCCCACCACCCACCACCATCTGTCACATGGACAGTGCTGTATTCTCCCACCCCCACACACCACCATCTGTCACATGGACAGTGCTGTATTCTCCCACCCCCCCCCCCCCCACCCACCACCATCTGTCACATGGACAGTGCTGTATCCTCCCACCACCCCCCTTACCCCACCACCCACCACCATCTGTCACATGCACAGTGCTGTATTCTCCCACCCCCCCTTACCCCACCACCCACCACCATCTGTCACATGGACAGTGCTGTATTCTCCCACCCCCCCCCACCCACCACCATCTGTCACATGGACAGTGCTGTATCCTCCCACCACCCCCCTTACCCCACCACCCACCACCATCTGTCACATGGACAGTGCTGTATTCTCCCACCCCCCCTTACCCCACCACCCACCACCATCTGTCACATGGACAGTGCTGTATTCTCCATTCCCCCTTACCCACCACCCACCACCATCTGTCACATGGACAGTGCTGTATCCTACCACCACCCCCACCCCACCACCCACCACCATCTGTCACATTGACAGTGCTGTATTCTCCCACCCCCCCTTACCCCACCCCACCACCCACCACCATCTGTCACATGGACAGTGCTGTATTCTCCCACCCCCCCCCCCCCACCCACCACCATCTGTCACATGGACAGTGCTGTATCCTCCCACCCCACCACCCCCACCCCCCCACCCACCACCATCTGTCACATGGACAGTGCTGTATCCTCCCACCACCCCCCACCCCACCACCCCCACCCCACCACCCACCACCATCTGTCACATGGACAGTGCTGTATCCTCCCACCAATCCCCACCCCACCTACCCCACCCCACCACCCACCACCATCTGTCACATGGACAGTGCTGTAGTATGTCCCCATGCATCCTATATTTCCTGACTTTTTATTTTTGGATTTTCAAAAAATGTACTTGTGATTAAAGAACCATGTATAAGATAAAAATGTCTATAATGTTATGTATATCTGTCTATAGCTCACAATAAAACGTAATCAAGAGACATCCTACTAGACTATTTTTTTTTTAATTCGTCAAGCTTAATGTGTCACTTCCAGTTACCTTTTGGTTACATTTTCAGTAGTTGTATGCTTAGTTATTTTCAGTAGCTGTATGCTTAGTTATTGTCAGTAGCTGTATGCTTAGTTATTGTCAGTTGTTGTATACCTAGTTATTTTCAGTAGCTGTACGCCTAGTTATTTTCAGAAACTGTATGCCTATATATTTTCAGTAGCTGTATGCCTAGTTATTTTTAGTAGCTATATGCCTAGTTATTGTCAGTTGTTGTATACCTAGTTATTGTCAGTTGTTGTATGCCTAGTTATTTTCAGAAACTGTATGCCTAGATATTTTCAGAAACTATATGCCTAGATATTTTCAGAAACTGTATGCCTAGTTATTTTTAGTAGCTGTATGCCTAGTTATTTTTAGTAGCTGTATGTCTAGTTATTAAAGATATGATTCGTGAGATATAATGCTAGTTCGTTGTTTAATGTTTTAAATCTACCATTTTTTTTTCAATACAATTTTTTTTCTGTGGTGGAATGTGGTCTAAATGTCTTTTTCTTTCTGTGATCGTGATGTGTGCACCATTAGCGCTTATGTTTCCATTTATTTATTTATTTTTCAATAATAAATTCCAATTTGTTTTTACACCTACCGTTATATAGTGACCTGTTACAGTTCACTGCAGTAAAGATTTGCCAAATGTGGTGTAAGGGAAGCAATCTAAACATTTCGGTAAAATAATTATTGAGTTACCTCCCGTGTATATGTAAGAAGGAAAACTCATTTTCACCATACTTGTGGTTTAATGTCACCAATTTATTTTTCGTGTTTTTTTTTTGTTTATTTTTTAAATATGCACAAATTTAATGTGATGCTTTAGGGTGTGCAGTCGTATATTTAATTCAAATGTAATCTAAATTTTAATTGTAATCCAAAAACATGCACGTCTAATGCCCCCTCCCCAAACAAAATATAAATTATATAGAAATAATATACTTTATTAACCCATGCCAGGACCCGACCCACTCCTTCTCCCCCAAAACCCCAAAAGTTTAAATCCCTACCCCTCCCCCCCCTCCCCTTCCCGAGAAAATAGTCTCAAAGAAACACTTATTATAATTTGAAACAACTAAAACAAGCAACACATACCATAGGATACGAATAAATATTTATTGTGAAAGGTAACTTATAAGTACATATTAAAATATACAGATTTATTTTCACAATTATTGCTTTATTTGAAATATTGAAAAAACAATAGCTTATAACACGGCATTAATTGTAGAGAGACGATAAATTTGATAATATCAGCAATACTCAAACATTCAACACGAGATGTGTTTTAAATCGTAATCGAAAACTATTTATAATCGATCATATGTGAACAGAAATAACACTGACATTCTAGTGATGAGAATATGGTATCAAAATATGATGGTAATCGATTATAGGATTGTGTGCAATTAAAGGCCGTACTACAGTTTCGATACTAAAGACATTTTTTTAAAAATTTGAATTTATTCACAAATTATTCACAACCCAGTGGTATTTTTGGGGTGAAATACGGTAAAGGACTTGAAGAAAATTGTGTGAACAATTTTTCAGCAAAGTTGTCAAAAATAAAAGACTAAAAATTATTTTTAAAATACATTAAGAATGCCGAGTAGATTGTGTGAATAAAACAATTTCGGAATGATTCTGATTTTTAAAATATTATATCAGAGGGAAATTGTTTGAGTTAGGTATTTTTTTTGAGAATTAAAAAAATAGACTTAACAAGTAAGAACCTAGTACAGTTCTAAACACAATCTAAGTAAGGGTTTATTGAAATTACCTCAAGTCTGTTGTTTTACTCCATCACTTTCCACTAACTTTCTAAAATATTAAAGTCAAATTACAGCAATTTACAGCACCATAAATGCAATGTGTAACTATGTTCGTAATTGATTTTTTTTTTCTAATAAATCCAAGTTTTGCCAGAGAATTATGTTGCTAATGAAAAAGAAATTATTGTAATAAAATAAAATTTCAACTTTAGTCCACAAAATACCTCTAATTAGCTGAAGTAATTAACATAATTTCAGCATGTTTCATAATATTGAGTCAATAGGCATTAATTAATGTTTCATAATGTGTATGATTACTTATACACGTATTCATAGGTTCAGGTGTACACATCATTATGTACAAGTTAACAGGTAAATATAGCATGTGTACATGTTTTAGGAAGTGTATGTCTTTATGTGTACATATGTAAAAGTCTACATAAGTACATGTCAACATGTGTATGTCTTTATGTGTACAGACGTGTAAGTCTCTATACGTAGCCTACATGTCAACATGTGAACATGCTTACGTCTGTATGTGTACATGTCTAAAGTGTTACAGGCTGAATTCTTATCACATTCTCACCAACAGTCGGAGGTGGGTGGGTTATTTGGTAGGTGGGTCATTTGGTGGGTGGGTCATTTGGTGGGTGGGTCATTTGGTGGGTGGGTCATTCGGTGGGTGGGTCATTTGGTGGGTGGGTCATTTGGTGGGTGGGTCATTTGGTGGGTGGGTCATTTGGTGGGTGGGTCATTCGGTGGGTGGGTCATTTGGAAGGTGGGTCATTCGGTGGGTGGGTCATTCGGGTGGGTGGGTTATTTGGTGGGTGGGTGGGTCATTCGGTGGGTGGGTCATTTGGAAGGTGGGTCATTCGGTGGGTGGGTCATTTGGAAGGTGGGTCATTCGGTGGGTGGGTCATTTGGAAGGTGGGTCATTCGGTGGGTAGGTCATTGGTGGGTGGGTTATTTGGTGGGTGGGTCATTTGGTGGGTGGGTCATTTGGTGGGTGGGTCATTCGGTGGGTGGGTGGGTGGGTGGGTCATTCGGTGGGTGGGTCATTTGGTGGGTGGGTCATTCGGTGGGTGGGTGGGTCATTCGGTGGGTGGTCATTGGTGGGTGGGTGGGTGGGTCATTCGGTGGGTGGGTGGGTCATTCGGTGGGTGGGTCATTTGGTGGGTGGGTCATTTGGTGGGTGGGTCATTTGGTGGGTGGGTCATTTGGTGGGTGGGTCATTTGGTGGGTGGGTCATTTGGTGGGTGGGTCATTTGGTGGGTGGGTCATTTGGTGGGTGGGTGATTCGGGTGGGTGGGTCATTTGGTGGGTGGGTCATTCGGTGGGTTGGTGGGTCATTTGGTGGGTGGGTGATTCGGTGGGTGGGTGGGTCATTCGGTGGGTGGGTCATTCGGTGGCAGGGTCAACTGCTGGGTGGGTCAGTTATTGCGTGGGTCAGTAGGTGGGTGGGTCAGTTTATTCGTGAGTCAATATGTATGTCATTAGGTGGGTCAGTTATTCGGTGGGTCTGTATGTGGGTGGATATATACATATTTTAACACAAGTCTCCGCCCCTATCATCTGCCCCATCGTGCTGGTATTCCATCAATGGTAGAGCCTGCCCTCTGAGACCTTGGGTCTGGGGATGTAGCCCAGCCTGTAGAAGACCACAAAAGGTATTTTAATAGCGTCTCGTGACGTCACTTCCTTTGTTTTGACAAGGGCCTGTACTCTCATTTAACATTTACCTGAAATTATGGGATTTGGATTTTTTCCCCGCCGTTCCACTACAAAGCAATTAGTTAACGCTAGCTTTTGTAAAGGTGAAATCCTCTTTAAATTGCACTGTCGTCTATATGTAAAGTCGTTCGTGTTGTAAATTTGTGCAGATTAGCGCTCCGAGTTAAGATCACTTTATGAGGGTTAGGTTGGGTTTGGTGGGGCAGTGAAGTCGAGTGGTAGAGCATACGACTGCTAACCCGAAAGTCTCGAGTTCCAATCCGGGTTCTTCTTCTTCGTTCTTAATTTTAAGTGTTGGAAGGGATCGAGCCTTATCTGCCAGAGGTTTCGAACTCGAGACTTATTTCGAATTTTAACAACCATGAGCTTGTTGCCGACTCGACCACGCCTCCAACACGTAGAACGTCCCTGAGTCCACCCAGCTATGATGGGTGCCTGACTCACGATGGGAAGTCAAGGCGGCTGGGTATAGTGTATGATCACAATATGCCGAGGTCATAAAAACAGGTGTATAGTGAAAATTATGTGGTGTCTGTTATACTATTAAGTTAAAGAATTTTATAAAATCCTCATCATCTTATTTCAATACACTATACACAATGGGCAGTTGAAGTAGATTTCATCTGTTTAATGTCCTCGAATTACAGGGGTTGAATTTGCCATTTGTATCCCAAACGTGTGTCAGGTACCCATAGGAGCTGGGTGAGTTAAAAAAAATTAGAGCCCGTTATCCGAACTCTAGACTTTCGGGTTAGCAGTCACGAGCCCTACCGTCCAACCACGCCGTTCCATAAATCCAAGGATAGAAGACTCAAAATACTTATGGTACCCTATAACGGAAAAGGTCAACTCACCAAGGCTTATCAATGGTGCCTGTACTAGCGAACCCGTCGTACTTCCCGTCTTGATTGCTGGGGAGGGGGGAAAAAATAGAAATAAAATGTATGGCCACTGTCTTATGGGGAGCTCAGTGTTATACAGCACGGTAGGTTATTCATTACCTGCGACAGTTTCTATGTGAATTGCAAATTTGCTTGACCTAAATTAAAACAATGTTAGGCCCACAGGTAGGAATGTGAACCTACCTTAAGTAGCGGGCTGGGAAGAAGGTGGGACAGAAAAGTGAGGTTTTTTTTTTTAAAAGAAAAGGTGTTTGACGTCATCGCTTGTCGTCTGAATGAAGTGGGCGTTTTTTTTTTTTAAGGATACGTGACTTAACAATAATGTTTATTTATAACATAAGAGAAACTAAGCTTGTGTTTAATAAGTTAATGTTGTTGCTGTTGTCGTGTTGATGTTTACAGTGGCGTCACTAGGTTGGGTGTCTACCCGGTGCGGTAACTGAGGGCGTCACCCAACCCGACCCAACAAACTTTCATTTCGGTTTTGATGTCGACCCTCTTCTCCTACTATTTTATCATTTTAAATTGATAGAACATTGTTTTGTAGAAACGTGTACGATTGTTTTCGTCTCGCTGTCACCCCCTAAAATTGTATCACTCGTTGAGGACTTCCACCCCCCTCCACCCCCTTGTGACGCCATTGGACCATAAATCTAAGTTAATTTCTTACTCTTGGTAGGCCAGGTACGTCACGGGGTAGGATTCTCTTTCATACGGGCCGTCACATCCGGTTCTAGGACTGGAGCCGTTATAGCTGGAGTCATAGAGTCTGAAATAGAAGAGCCACAATTATGGAATACAAGAGTCACAATTATGGAATACAAGAGTCACAATTATGGAATAGAAGAGTCACAATTATGGAATACAAGAGTCATACTTATTGAATACAAGAGTCATACTTATCGAATACAAGAGTCATACTTATTGAATACAAGAGTCATACTTATTGAATACAATAAAGTGGGTTAAGTACCCATTAGAGCTGGCTGGACTCATTGACGTTTTACTGAGTTGGATTCGAACTCGAGTCTGTCAGGTTAGCTCTACCTCTAGCCCACGCCGTCCCATTAATTAGAATTACCGTGTATGTAGCCTATCACTAGACCACTTCCTCCCTTCTAAAAATGACCAAAAATCTTTGACCTGCTGGACATACCTCTCATCGTTTTCCCGCCTCTTCCTGTAGCAGCAGAAGTAGGCGATGAAAATAGCAACGACAACAACGATGATGAAAGACACGGCGGCGATTGAAGTGCCGAAGATGATCTTCTCCTCCGTGTTTAGATCCCAGGACCCTGGCATGAAGACAACAACATTAGCAATGGAAATACAGACACGTCCCTGAGTCCACCCAGCTCTGATGGGTACCGAACTCATGTTAGGGAAAGTAAAGGCGGCTGGGCAAAATGTTGATCATACCTTCCATTTATATGCCGAGGTCACAGAAACATTTCAACTCAACTTCATTTGCCCAATGGATCTCTAGGTCTAAAGAGGATTCTTTACTTTAATATGTAACTTTATGAAGCTTAACATCAACATTTGTTTACTAATAGTAGATTCCAACAGATCATGACCCTCCGCCACTGCTGAAGATTGTTACATTTAGATATAAGATCATCATGAACTCTACTTCATCTGCTCAAAGGATCGCTTGATCTAAAAAGGATTATTTGCTACACCAATACGGCCAGCGAACTTTAGAAATACGCGCTCAATGCGCATGTACAGGAAGTTACTGTGTTGTGACTCACATTCACAGCGGGGGATGGCGTGGCTCCAGTTTCCGGTGCTCAGGCACGTGAGGGAGTAGATGCCGTTGGATGGGCGGTGGCCGAACTCGTCACAGCTCACGTTGACCCTGGAACCGGATGTGACGTTAGTGCTAGACAACCGCAGGCCGGTGTCTGTGAGGGAGTGACAATCTGTAACAAAAAATTGGGTCGGGTGACAAATCGTAACAAAACGTGTGTCGGGTGGCAAATTGTAACAAATATTGGGTCGGGTTGATTAATTGTCAGGTTGACAATATGTAACAATAATTTCAGTCGATATGAAAACATATAAAAATTATTTTAGTCGGGGTGACATTTTATTTGTAATGTTGGATAGGATTCCCTCCAACATAATTAAGTATTACGTTTCAACAAATTATACGCCATGTAGGCCGTTGACTTCGATTTCAGCCTGCTTTTCTTTTTGGATTTGCTTCCACAGCTTTTGTCCAACCAAGAACAAACTAGAAGGCAGCAGTTGTTTATTTTTAGAGGTGTCTCTCCTAGATGGGAGAGTTTGGGATAAGATTATGTGGTCATACAGAGCCTCGCTGTCTCTCCCCCCCCCCCCATGTGCTTTCTTTGAACGAAACAAGGGAGGGATCTCGAAGTTCTTGGGTATAGTTTAAACCGCTCTATTACTCGACCATTCGTCTTCCTAGCATATGTTTGAGTTTCGTAAACCAGCAAATCTAATACATTAAATTAAACTACATTGGCTTTAATCAACAATATTATGTTGACATCTTATCACCTCAAAAATTGTCAATTTGAATTACGTCAAGACTTGTTAATTTTACATTTAATCACGTTGAAACTTGTCAACTATGGATTGGATCACACGGATCAGAATATTACATCCAGTACCAAGTCTTACATCCAAACATTCACTTCCCCAAGTCGTACATCCAAACATCCACTGTCCCAAGTCTTACATCCAAACATCCACTGTCCCAAATCTTACATCCAAACATCCACTGCCTCAAGTCTTACATCCAAACATCCACTGTCCCAAATCTTACATCCAAACATCCACTGTCCCAAGTCTAACATCCAAACATCCACTGCCCCAAGTCTAACATCCAAACATCCACTGCCCCAAGTCTTACATCCAAATATCCACTGCCTCAAGTCTTACATCCAAACATCCACTGTCCCAAATCTTACATCCAAACATCCACTGCCCCAAGTCTAACATCCAAACATCCACTGCCCCAAGTCTAACATCCAAACATCCACTGCCCCAAGTCTTACATCCAACCATCCACTGCCCCAAGTCTTACATCCAAACATCCACTGTCCCAAGTCTTACATCCAAACATCCACTGTCCCAAGTCTAACATCCAAACATCCACTGTCCCAAGTCTAACATCCAAACATCCACTGCCCCAAGTCTAACATCCAAACATCCACTGCCCCAAGTCTAACATCCAAACATCCACTGCCCCAAGTCTAACATCCAAACATCCACTGCCCCAAGTCTAACATCCTAATATCCACTGCCCCAAGTCTTACATCCAAACATCCACTGTCCCAAATCTTACATCCAAACATCCACTGCCCCAAGTCTAACATCCAAACATCCACTGCCCCAAGTCTAACATCCAAACATCCACTGCCCCAAGTCTTACATCCAACCATCCACTGCCCCAAGTCGTACATCCAAACATCCACTGCCCCAAGTCTTACATCCAAACATCCACTGCCCCAAGTCTTACATCCAAACATCCACTGCCCCAAGTCGTACATCCAAACATCCACTGCCCCAAGTCGTACGTCCAAACATCCACTGCCCCAAGTCTTACATCCAAACATCCACTGCCCCAAGTCTTACATCCAAACATCCACTGCCCCAAGTCGTACATCCAAACATCCACTGCCCCAAGTCTTACATCCAAACATCCACTGCTTAAAGTCTTACATCCAAACATCCACTGCTTAAAGTCTTACATCCAAACATCCACTGCCCCAAGTCTTACATCCAAACATCCACTGCCCCAAGTCTTACATCCAAACATCCACTGCCCAAAGTCTTACATCCAAACATCCACTGTCCCAAGTCTTACATCCAAACATCCACTGCCCCAAGTCTTACATCCAAACATCCACTGCCCCAAGTCTAACATCCAAACATCCACTGCCCCAAGTCTAACATCCAAACATCCACTGCCCCAAGTCTAACATCCAAACATCCACTGCCCCAAGTATACCATCCAAACATCCACTGCCCCAAGTCTTACATCCAAACATCCACTGCTTAAAGTCTTACATCCAAACATCCACTGCCCCAAGTCGTACATCCAAACATCCACTGCCCCAAGTCTAACATCCAAACATCCACTGCCCCAAGTCTAACATCCAAACATCCACTGCCCCAAGTATACCATCCAAACATCCACTGCCCCAAGTCTTACATCCAAACATCCACTGCCCCAAGTCTTACATCCAAACATCCACTGCCCCAAGTCTTACATCCAAACATCCACTGTCCCAAGTCTTACATCCAAACATCCACTGCCCCAAGTCTTACATCCAAACATCCACCGCCCCAAGTCTTACATCCAAACATCCACTGCCCCAAGTCGTACATCCGAACATCCACTGCCCCAAGTCGTACATCCAAACATCCACTGTCCCAAGTCTTACATCCAAACATCCACTGTCCCAAGTGTTACATCCAAACATCCACTGCCCCAAGTGTTACATCCAAACATCCACTGTCCCAAATGTTACATCCAAACATCCACTGTCCCAAGTCTTACATCCGACCATCAAATTACAGATTCAACTTTCCCCAGCGATACAGATCTCTCCCCCACCCCGCTGTTTGATGACGACAACCCACTAACCCCTGCAGGACGGTAGATACATGCATTACACCTGAGGGAATCGTTGTTTACCTATGTTCAGGTATTTATGATAATCCTAAATCATTCTTTCAAAAGTTTTTAATCGTTAAAGATGGCTTTATAATACATGGAAATTAGCCAATCCCGTTTTTGTTTTGTATCGTTGAACCTTGTGTTGGGCTACACTTTACCTGAACATTAACGCCAAACCTACATTAATCCTAACGATAATCCTAACTCTAATCTTTAATCCATCCCTAGTATATACATTAGTTTTAACACAAACCTCGTCACGTATGTGTATATCCTAACCCTAAGCTGTTGTAAACTCACCCGTTGCCATGGCTACGAAGAATTGTTTATTGTTTCATGCGGTCTCCATTAGATGATCTTGTATCAAACTGTAACAATCTTCAGCAGTGCTGTAGGGTCATGACCTGTTAGTAAACAAATGCTGATGATAAGCTTCATAAAGTTACATATTAAAGTATAGAACCATCTTTAGACCTAGCGATCCATTGGCCAGATGAAGTAGAGTTTATGTTTCTTGACCTCGGCATATGAAGTTAGTCAGCACTTTGCACAACTGTCTTTATTTTCCTTTACATGATTTAGGTACCCATCATGGCTGGGCGTACACTGGGTCTATCTACTGACTTGGACCCGGATACGAACTCGAGACTTACGGGTTAGCAGCCTAGCGCTCTACCGTTTAGGCCACGCCATCCCATATAGTTATTTATTACAGTCTGTGAAAATAGTATCCTTTACTACAACCGACGGGAAAAGATAAGTATAGTAATCAGCTTTACGATTGTTAAGCTAGAAATCAGAGCAAGGTCAGCCGGCTTTACAAGACTTGAGACAAAAGATAACACTATGAACAAATAAGACTGTAATGAGATTTTATTGTAATACTGTCCTGAAGTCTAAATCACGTATTCAATGTAATCTAATACAGTTGCGTTGAGAGAAAAAATGCAATTTTTTAAAGTAAGAAATTGGAAATGAGGGCTATTATGATCTTTGCAGCATCAGAGATTTTAAAAATATATTTAACTTAACCAAATCTCAGTTTAGGCTAGTGTTAGTTGTTAGGCCAATAAGAAAAACACAACGTACATAACACGGGCCTCAGTTGCGATTATTCGGACCGCAGGGGCAATAATTCGGACCAAATGGGCAATAACCCGGACCGCATGGGTAATAATTTGTACCGCAGAGGCAAAAATAATTCGAGCAGGAGAGGTAATAATTCAGACCATAATTCTAGAAGCAGGGGCAGTAATTCATACGGCACTCAACAAGGCAGACAACGCGATTGCAGGCAGTACTTAAAGTAAATAGGAAAGAAAAAAATAAAATAAAAAAAAACAATTGCATTTATCAAAGAATAACATCTGTACATGCAGCTAATATTTGTAGCAAAGAAAATAGACGTTGCATGAGGGACTATACAAAAAATAAATCATCACACGATGAAGGTTTTGAATTTAAACATTTTATTTTCAAAATATATGATTATAAATATACTGTATATTTTATTTTTAGAATCCGTTTTTAAAGGTATTAAAAATATTGCTTTAAAATCGCAAGATTCCTAAGTTATTTATAATCCAAGTTTTCGTGATCAAATAAAAGTCAAACGTACCTATGTATTCACACGTGAAGTATACGTTCGATAATCAGGTATGAATCAGTTATGAACCGTTAGATTTGAAAACAAAACCGAAACAAGAATATCCTGTTGCACTAAAACTTCAAACACACCTACGTTTTCACAGGCAGGTAAAACAATAACTGATCGCGCTCTCGCTAAAAATCATTAACATAACTCAAATCACCCCCCCCCCCACCTAGCCCTACTCATAAACAATCCCCTAACTTAACAGGTAAACAATATCTACTCACCGCAGTGTATTTAACACCTGTAGTTAACCAGCATGACCTATACACCAACCTTGCTAATCTCCAACCCGCTTTCTCACTTGATCTGATATTTCAAACAATACATTTCTTAACCTAACTAGCCCCCCCCCCCCTGTCTATAGAACCCTACTTAAGTGTTTACTAGTATTTTTTTCCCGTCAGTCCCTGGTTGTATTGACACAAGTCTGGCTACACGTCATGTAATGCATTAATCATGTCGTTAAATCAATTATTTAGGGACGGGGGTGGATGGCGGTGGAGCAACTACACACTTCAGGGAGTAGTCAACAACACACTTGAAGACAGTAGTCAACATTAAACTTGAAGACAGTAGTCAATAACACACTTGAAGACAGTAGTCAACAACACACTTGAAGACAGTAGTCAACATCACACTTGAAGACAGTAGTCAACATCACACTTGAAGACAGTAGTCAACACTTGAAGACAGTAGTCTACATCACACTTGAAGACAGTAGTCAACAACACACTTAAAGACATTAGTCAACACTTAAAGACAGTAGTCAACACTTGAAGACAGTAGTAAACACTTGAAGACAGTAGTCAACATCACACTTAAAGACAGTAGTCAACACTTGAAGACAGTAGTCAACACTTGAAGACAGTAGTCAACACTTGAAGACAGTAGTCTTAATAGGATATACTACTTATATTGAACTTGCGCCTTAACCATTTATATAGAGTTTAACCTTGGTCACTTCTATAGAGCTTAATCGTGGCCACTTATATAGAGTTTAAACTTGGCCACTTATATAGAGCTTAAACTTGACCACTTATATAGAGCTTAAACTTGTCACTATAGAGAGCTTACGGTACGATGTACTAAGTTCGACTTGATATTGTCCCTATGTCTTCCTACTCTAACTATGAAATACCATTTCGGCTATCATTTACCGTTTTAAATGATACTTCAGTTTTTCAATGAAATACCACTTTTATTACAATATACCACATTTGCTATGAAAGAAGAATGGCTACAATTTACCCTTTTATCCAGTCGACATGAAATACCACTTTACCCATAATATACCACTCTCGTCCTGAAATACCACTATGGTCAAGATGTACCACTTTAACCATGAATTCTCAATGTTGTACTACTTTAATTATGCCGGTTTCAAAAGGTCGTTAACACCTACATTGTTACGACAACCGAGAATGCTAATAAATTTTTTTAAATGTTTATTTACACCGATGTAATACATGTATCCGAAGATTTAAAAAATATGTTGTCATAATTAACTAGTTGAGATTAAAAAATTCTAAATATAAAATTAACACCTAAGCCAGAGAGCCTTCCTGGCAAGTGCATTTAAGTTCCTGGCATGACCGGTGCTGCCAGATTTCTATTGTCAACAAACCGGCCCCGCCACAAAGTTTCTATACAACGATAAAGTGCATAACAATTATCCCTCGATAGATCGAAAGTAAATAATCGCCAGGAATCGATGAGGTATCGATTACCGTTAGGGAAATCGAAAATAGGCGTCTGTCTGGATGAATTGGGTTAATAATAGATGCTCCGGCACTGAAGGTTTTCTGCGAATTTGATTGGTTGTATTGTGTGTTTTTTTTAATTTGAGAACTTTTTCCGTGCTATGATTGTGTTTGTTGATTAATACAAGTTGAGTTATTGATAATTCTGAAGGAAACTGAAGAAAATGTTCATTTCGACCATTGGTCTTCGACGGATCTTCTTCTTTTCTTCTTCTTCGTTCTTAATTTTTAGTGTTGGAAGGGATAGAGCCTTATCTGCCAGAGGGTTTGAACTCGAGACTTTTTCGAATGTATCAACCATGAGCTTTTGCCGACTCGACCACGCCTCCATCACAATTAAGGATACGTGTCAACTGGTTATGCGCCATTGAGGCCATTAACTCCGATTTCAGACTGCTTTTCTTTTTGGACCTCGTTCATCAGATCAAAACATTAAAATAAACGCAGCTTTTTAACTCTTTGAACGCGTTTTAAATATTCTTTAAAGATTATGTTTTATTTTTTTCAGTGGTGTAATCGTATTTTAATGTGCTGTTCTAGTTATTTTGTTGTTCAAATCATATAACTTTTTAAGTCATGTATCTCTTCAAGTCAAGTAGCTGTTTTAAATAGTTTTTTAAGTCATGTGGCTGTTCATAAGTCATGTAGCTGTTCATAAGTCATGTAGCTATTCATAATTCATGTAGCTGTTCATACCATGTAGCTGTATTAGTGAAGTAGCTGTTTAGATATGCCTGTTTAAGTCATGTTCTGTTTAATTGAGTAAGTCATGCTTCTGTTTAAGTCACGTAGCTTTCTAAGTCATGTAGCTGTTTAAGTCATGTAGCAATAGACTTTAATTCATGTAGTTGTTCAAAAAATGGATAGACAAAAACCTAAACACACACTGGATTGTCCTATTTTGTGATCAACAAGAACAATGTCAAATCTGAAGACACAGCTTATCGACGTGTGTGTATTATGTGTAGGAACACACAATCATCTATTTATCTATGTGAGCTTGTGTGTGTCAGAACTATTCGACGCCATCTTTATCCCTTAGAGTGAATTAACTTTGATTGGGGTGCCCAGCGGAAATTTTTTGAGGGCCACTAAAAATCTGGGGCCCTCGTCTGCTGCCCTGTCACCCCCGCCCCCTAAACCCACGACTGAATTAAAGCATGATTTTAAATTATACAGTTCCATGTTAACCCACCTGTTACATCAGCTGTTGAATCACGTGTCTAATCACGTGATAAGACTCGGCACAACAATAACGCAGATTCCAGACCTAAGTCCTTCAGCAGCTCATTAGAAATCAATTCTTAGATTGTCTTATTCCGGAACGTTCCAAATTTGTATTCACTCTTGTTGTATTATCCACATTCACTGTACAACTGAAAAGTTGTTTACACTCAAGATAACATAAGCTCTGTATAATATATCACAAGACATCACCACAAATTTGTGAATAGAACAGTTTCATCCTTAGCCCAACACAACCACGTAACACATCTTTAGAACAAGGTCACCATCACACGAGAACAAGGGCTGACCTCACATGGCAATTAGGAAATCCCAGGTAAAAAAAATGAGTGCCACACGACACACCTGTCAGGTAAAGTGCCGGCTGGTCTGTCTCTCGGTGCCGGGATATCCAGGTACACATCGCATGATCGGCAGGTAGACACGGCGGCGTGGATCGATAGGAGAGATCGGCGATCGGAGGTGGATGTGCGTGTTACGTAACGGGGAGGGGGAGGGGGTGGATGTGTGCGTGTTACGTAATGGGGAGGAGGAGGGTATTAAAGAAAAGGGGAAAATAGCGAGTTTTATATTTATATATATATATATATATATATATATATATATATATATATATATATATATATATATATATATATATATATATATATATATTTATATATTTATATATTTATATATATATATATATATATATATATATATATATATATATATATATATATATATATATATATATATATATATATATATATATATATATATAGGCCTACATATAAATATATGTATTGAGACATGTATGATTTAAAAAAAACACACACATATATATATATATATATATATATATATATATATATATATATATATATATATATATATATATATATATATAAACCTGCTATTTCTTACTTTCTCTGCTAATCTAAAAACACTTCAAGAAACGACCGAGTATGACAACGTGTCTATAATTATCTATACCCTACGAATCACGCTACCTATTGAATAACCTGTCACAGAAAAAACGATCATGATTTAAAATCCTATGCCAATGTCGCCACTTCCTAAATGACTTCACACCTTCACAAACACGGCATTAAAAAACCTAACAGTCTTTTTGAATGACAGGAGATTCAACTTTCACTTTACTTAGAGTGAGGTATGACGACGCCTATAGAGAAGGAAAATTAATGTCAAATTTTGAATGGCTGTTTGATCAATAATTCAATTTGTTTGGTGCTTTGTATCGTGACTTTTGACTTTTACTACAACCGTGTCTATGAAAATAAAAAAAAACGGGTAGGTGTGAGGGCTAAATATAGTTTGTGTAAGAAAAAAATATAAAAACTATTGCAATTTGTTGTAAACTATTGAAACTAAACAAGCTGTATAGATCTAAAAAAAAAGGATTATTATTGAAGGGAGTCATTATAAGGGCAAACAAGTTTCGAACTTACATGGTAAAAAAAATCGCCCACCCCATTTGAGCACCCAACAGCTACTTCTAGACCAGTGGTTCTTAAATTTTTGGAGGTACCGTACCCCAAGTTTCATTTGCACATTCACCGAACCCTTCTTCTGAGTTTTATCGTCCGCATAGACTCTTCTCAATGCGGTTTTGATAATTTGATGAGTCGAGTGTGTGCTTGACCTTCGCCGAACCCCTGAGACTGACTCACCGAACCCCTGGGGTTCGATTGAACCCAGGTTAAGAACCACTGTTCTAGAAGGACATTACCTCCCCTCTGTCGAATCCAATCACCTAACACTAAACTAAACCCTAATTGTAAGGCTAACGTCTAGGATTATGGTTAGGTTTAAGGCTAGATGTAAGATTAAGGCTCGGGCTATGTACTGGGTTATGTTTAGGGTTACGACAATTTTCGACATGAATTAGTTATCTCTATCCTATCCAGCATCCCATACTGGTATTCTATTCTATTAGCTGCCAAAGCCAAGAACGAAATCCGTTTACTGTCATATGTCAGCTTAGTTCAGGCAATCGATAGAATACAGTCGTTTTTTTTTCTATTACGATTACATGTGTATTTCGTTTTCACAGTGGCGGGGGGGGGGGGGATACCGGAAGTACCGCGGTAAAAAATAACGGGGATAATTGATAGGTACATAAAAGTTACGGTGAGGTAGGATAATCTGGGTGGGTAATGACCGGGGGTGGGGGGGAATTGACAGGTGGGTAATGTTCGAGACAGTAATAGAGTAGAGACTATAAGATAAAAGATGCTACATTATATATATATATATATATATATATATATATATATATATATATATATATATATATATATATATATATATATATATATATATATATATATATATATGTGTGTGTGTGTGTGTGTGTGCGTGTGTGTGCGTGTGTGTGTGCGCGTGTGTTTATGTGTGTATATACTGTGGCCACCATTGTGATATTTTAACGGGATCTAAAGGTAACAAACAAACTTACAAACAAACTTATAAACACCTAACAGCACCTGCTAAACTGGTTTTTTAATCTCGTCATAATTCTTACATACGTCAGACAATTATTCTCTACGGTGGTGTCTAAAACTCTACGTGTTGGAATCTGGCACAATCTTACACGTTGTGCTGCTGTAGAGTTGACGTGTAACATTGCTGTAATGCTGTAAGCTGTAGGCTCATAGGACGTGAAAAGTGATGGCGGTGGATGGATTATATACATTTCGCTGCCAAAATAATCTTGCCAATCTGAGACACACGGCGACTAATTCACCAACCTTAGACAACAATCTCACGTAAAAAGACGTAAATATAACGGAGCCGCTCGGAAAATGTTAAGAAACAAAAATGACCCCTTTACTAACGATTCTGGTATGGTACATTGATTGTGTTGTAATCGGATGGGCTGTTTCTAAGGGAATTACTGTACAAATAATCCTCTTGTCGCAAACAGCAACACATTACTACATCTTAGGCAGGAATAACCTGAAAGGTGAAAGGTTATCCAATGAAAAATCGCTTCGATTTATAGTATTATATGTAGAAAAACAGCGAAAGCATCAGACATAAAAAAAAGCCAAAGTATCAGTTATCCGACAGCTAAAGTATCAGACAGCCAACAGCTAAAGTATAAGACAACTAAAGTATAAAACAGCCTACAGTATAAGACAGCCAACAGCTAAAGTATCAGACAGCCAACAGCTAAAGTATCAGACAGCCAACAGCTAAAGTATAAGACAACCAACAGCTAAAGTATCAGACAGCCAACAGCTAAAGTATCACACAGCCAACAGCTAAAGTATCACACAACCAACAGCTAAAGTATAAGACAACCAACAACTAAAGTATCAGACAGCCAACAGCTAAAGTATCAGACAGCCAACAGCTAAAGTATCAGACAGCCAACAGCTAAAGTATAAGACAACCAACAGCTAAAGTATAAAACAGCCAACAGCTAAAGTATCAGACAGCCAACAGCTAAAGTATAAGACAACCAACAGCTAAAGTATAAAACAGCCAACAGCTAAAGTATCAGACAGCCAACAGCTAAAGTATAAGACAACCAACAGCTAAAGTATATAATAATCATTAAAAAAGTTTTAAAAAACCCACGTTTTCTGATTGAACTAAAAAGTAGAAAATAAATACTATACATCACAATAATGCAAGCGATCACTCTACTATAAGCGATCAAAAACGTGGGTCGCCGAAGTAAAAGTTATATTACTATTGATTAGATAATACTATTGACTTTTATTAGGGAGCTTGTAGAGAGTCAACAGTATTAGAAACTGTAAGAAAATCACGGCGCCCCACGTTTTTGATCGCTTATAGTAGAGTGATCGCTTGCATTATTGTGATGTATAGTATTTATTTTCTACTTTTTAGTTCAATCAGAAAACGTGGGTTTTTTAAAACTTTTTTAATGATTATTATTTTCTACTTTTTAGTCTTTGTCTGTTTGTTTGCATTAAAATCTTGCTATCGATTTTATCTTTTCACTTTTTTTGGGTAAACGAAGACAACTCGTAAAAAGACAACTCGTAAAAAGACAACTCGTAAAAAGACAACTCGTAAAAAACACGTTGTTTGAATACGTTACTGACTAGAACACATAGATTTGAACCCGTGTCGAGTGGGATAGCAATCGTGTGCCCAACCACTCGACCATATCGTCTCCCCCAAACTGGCCTACCTCCTGTAAGTTTAAACTCGGTTCAAGCTAAATTCTCTGCCCCTAAGCCTGTGGCGACATGTGATCGTTCGCTTCACTGCGCGCGAGGTACGCGTCGCTGGTTTTTTTTCTAACGCTAGCAGAGGAGAATTATATATATAGATTATATAGCGGTCTAAAATGCTCAATAAAATGTTTCCATTGATCAATTTAGTAATAATAACAATTGAATATTCAATGGTCATCCAAAAGAAAGCTTCCCTGAAAATTTCAGCGCGCTAGCTAACTGGGAAGTGCCAGAAATTTCGATCGCAAGATTTGATTGGAAAGACAAACAAACAGAGAAAGCAAGTTAAAGAAAACGTGGGAAAAACAGCCTACAGTATCAGACAGCCAACAGCTAAAGTATAAGACAACCAACAGCTAAAGTATCAGACAGCCAACAGCTAAAGTATCAGACAGCCAACAGTATCTGACAGCCAACAGCTAAAGTATCAGACAGCCAACAGCTAAAGTATCAGACAGCCAACAGCTAAAGTATCAGACAGCCAACAGCTAAAGTATCAGACAGCCAACAGCTAAAGTATAAGACAACCAACAGCTAAAGTATAAAACAGCCTACAGTATCAGACAGCCAACAGCTAAAGTATCAGACAGCCAACAGCTAAAGTATCAGACAGCCAACAGCTAAAGTATCAGACAGACAACAGCTAAAGTATCAGACAGCCAACAGCTAAAGTATAAGACAACCAACAGCTAAAGTATCAGACAGCCAACAGCTAAAGTATAAGACAACCAACAGCTAAAGTATCAGACAGCCAACAGCTAAAGTATAAGACAACCAACAGCTAAAGTATAAAACAGCCTACAGTATCAGACAGCCAACAGCTTACAGTATCAGACAGCCAACAGCTAAAGTATCAGACAGCCTACAGTATCAGAGAACCGAGAGTTTTAGGATCGGACAGCCGACAGCTAAAGTATCAGAGAACTAAAGTATAAGACAGCCAACAGTTTCAGACAGCCCTGTTCTTAACGTGGCAAACCCAACTAGCTGTGACAGGAAACGAGATCTAGCCCAGCTCAGCATCACGTGAACGTGACAGCATCACGTGAGCGTGACAGCATCACGTGAACGTGACAACGG